GTCCGATTATTGTTGAGAATACGACGGTGAGTTAATATCGCCGCTTTGTGGAGTGATAAATGAATCGGCAACCAGCTTCCGAGTTTCTCTCTTCCTTGAGTTCGTGGTCTTCTTCAGAAGTCTAGATATGAAATACGTCTTGACAAATCCTATGGGACGAATTTGCGACTTAATAAGATAGCTACCTACAGCCCATCCTTGACCCGCTCCGTCGCCTTGCTGGCGAGCGCGCTCGGTGTGAAATCCATCTCGTACTGCCCTAATGTTTTCTTCAGTCACAAGGACTCTTCGTACGTTTGTGTCAGAGCTTGACTGTAGGCAATTTGGAGTGTTCAGTTCAGCATGTGTCCTCTCTCTACATTCTTTTCCTTACTCGCTCTGTTTTACCTTCCTTTTCCTCTAAAGCATTGTACATCTAATAACTATTTTATGTAACTTTTTTTGAACACTATTCCTTATCCGTTCATTTGTCTTTGGAGCAGTCATCGGTCATACTACAATTAGAGTCCGTACAGAGGTGATCCCTGGCATTATTATTCTATGCAGAGGGATGGCCTGAATTTCAGTTTTTATCAGGAGCACGAAATTATTCAGAAAATTTTTGAAGATTTGAAACAAGGCTTGGGATGTAGCCACTTGGTTCATGTGAAAAGCTAGTCAGGAACATGCTGTCATGCGTATCTGATCGTGAGAGTTCAATTTTTTTCTGGAACTTATTTCACGGGCGGAAGTGGTGTAGTGGCAAGTGGCACGCTTACCACGCGAGCGGTCCGGGGATCAAATCCTGGGTCGTGAGTCGCCCGGGCCAACCAAGCCTTCCATCCCTCCGGGGTCGGTTAATTGGTACCAGACTTGTCTGGGAGGATAAAAACACTGACTTGTACATCGGCTGGCCCCCGCAAGTCATTGTATAGGCCACATCGCATTCAAACGCCACTACGAATGTACAAATGGAAGTAGAATGCGTGCCGCATCCCAAAAAGGGATTGATCAACGGCAAATGCTTTATCCTTTATCCTTTATTTCATGTCATTTTTAGTACCAATTAATGTCTTATGGAGGTAATGCTGGG